CCAAACACAAAAAAACACACACTCCTTTTTTGGGAGGGGGGTTGGAAGTGGCTTAGGAGGCTCTCAGCTCATTACTGTATACTCACAGAATTAATTATTCCTTTCAGTGCTTGGAATCCTCCGGTCACAGGGAAGACCTGATCTTTTGTATCAGCAATTTTTTCAAGCTTCAGGGAAAAAGAAACACAAATAATTTGGCACACCAAACTTGTTATGTGCTGCCTGTCAGCCTTAGTATCAAAATTCTGTCTTAAAAAGAAACAGTTAGCAAAATAATAAAACTCTAGAATCCTGCAACACCCTTGCCCTTAGTTTTCCTGTCTGCTTCATATTTCATTAAAGAAGTCTTTCTCCAAATCCTTACTATAAGCTCCTTTATGTACACTTTCCCATTTAAAGAACAACTCTCCTACTTCATTTGCATATAATCCCTGGTACTAATTTTGTTAATGATTAGAACACAGCTTACATGAGCACAGCACCTAAAGATTAACTTTCAGTTGATGGCAGACAATAGTCCTTCTTTTGTTTTCTATTACAAAGACTATTGTCCCTTCTCAATTCAAAGATTATCTATAACGACTACTGCAAGCTGTGGTCTAAGCTGGTTAACATTTTAATAGAAACTTTACCTATATCCTCAGGGTGAGGCAGCTACCAATAAGTGAAATTAATTTCTGATAGATCTTTTCCCATAATAAAAAAGTGACACCCAGTCATCATTTCTATGTATGTATATATGTATGAGTATTTGCTTCCTATTCTAGAAATGTTGCACAGTCCCAAAAATAAATTAAATACAAATGACAGCAGCCTTATAAAAAGTTGTAATAAGGCTCTGGTAAGTAATAAAGACAACAGTGCAATTACCTGATCTTGTCTAAAATCAAGGACTCCAACACAGTAAACTCTAGCTCCCAAGTTTCTGGCCTTATTTGCCTGTCCCAAAAAAGAATGGAGAAGATAATATATTATTCATAATATGCACATGAATACACAAAAAACCTGAGCTGATTGTAACAAGCAGCTTCTGTTTCAAACTCACCTCTTTTTCTGCATACAAGGGGATCTGACCTTCCAATTTACCATCTGTCAGTGCAATTATTGTACTAGCGGATTTTGAGCCCCCCATTTGTTCAATTTTGATATTAGCCTGAAAATGAAGAATAAAGATCCAAGTTACAATCATTTCTGAATCTATCAACAAGATGTTTCTGATATATAAATTCAGAAGTCTCACATAATCCAAAAAGCACAAAATAATCAAATCCCTCTCTAAAACTTACTTCTTCAAGCAATGGCCTCACCACAGCTACCCTCTCATTACTAATAAGGAATCCTTTCATTAGCTTTAATGGGAGTTAAATCAGGGCACTAGATTGTAATGAATATAGGCCACTGGAGGCCAAACTTTATGGTAGACATGCCACAAAATAGCCCTGCTCTCTCTCCAAGTACCACTCCAATCCCTTTGCCCTGCCAATCCGCTGCTCTGCTTTCTTCCTTATGTGCCACTTGTAGCACATGTGCTACAGGTTAGCCACCCCTAATTTAGGCTAAGGAGTATGGCCAACATTTTGAATTCTCCAAACACAGACACCTTTACAGGGGCACAGTATTCTGAAGACAGATACTGGGAGCATCTACATGCAGGGTGTGAATTACGAGGGAGTTGCGGGGGGGCTGAGCCCCCCCCATAAGATTTAAAAATCATAACCTGGAGGGTCTACAATTTTATTCGGGCATCATAATGGGCATCCCAATTTTTATTTTTTTTCCAGAGCACCGCCCCTCAAGAGTCAAAGTGTAATTCAGACCTTGTCTACATGAGATGTTTTAGCTCCACAGTAAAGTTTCACCATCTACATATGTGGCCCTAGTAGGCCACAGTAAACTAATTAACTGTGCTGTAGGTTAGTACTTATAAAACACAAGTACTATCCTAAGGCAGAGCTATTCAGCACACAGCAACACGTGTAGACACTCACAGGTCTGGCTAGGGCACAAGTCTGCCGGCTAGCCTCACACTGAAGTGCACTCATGCCCCAGCCAGTCCCTCCGCAACACATTGAGCCAGGTCAGAGCAGCCCCTGGCTGGCAGGCTGACCACCCCCTCCAGGAGCCCCTGCCAGCCAGGGCTGCTCCAACCCAGCACATGCTGCACTCCCAGGCACACATGTAAACACAGTGCCCAGGAGCAATACCGCGCCAGAGTTTATTGCAGTATTGCATATGTGCAGCCACTGTGTACTTTTTCTGAAAATCATGCCCTTTAAAGAGGCCTCAACGTCAGCACTGGCACCCCCAAACCATCAAAACTCGTTAGTCAGTTCCCAAAAGATGAGTTTGACTTACAAAATCGTGAGCGGAAATAATACAAGTAACTAGTTATTCTTTTTATTTGCCTTCTAGTTCATCAACTTGTAGGTTTATACTCTGATCACATCTTCAAACTTTTCTCCACAAGCATGAGAACCAGAAATCCATGTTTTTGTTTCTGTTTTATTTAAAGGAAGCTAAGATTTTCACTTATTCCCTAGTGTTAGGCTTTAAGTAAAATATCAAATATTATTAAAGTCATACTAAAATAGCAAGAATTAGTGATACTGCTTCTGGACACCCAAAATTAAGGTAAACAAAATCATTCACCATTTCTGAAAACTTTGGCCTGCAAGCTGTTTTTGTGCTTGTAAGCCAACATATAGATTTATGATGCTCTACTAATATTTTGTAGTACTAACAACAACACTACAAAATATTATGTACATACATACTTAGTTAATTGTTCTGCTGCATTTATTACTCCTTCCATGTGGAAAAGCAAGAGGTCCATGCATGAGTCCACAGAAATAATAGAAAAGAATCTCCATAAAGCACATCACATGGGATTGCTGATCTCCTACATGTGACTTTTTCATACCTAGGCAATCTTTGCCTGAGTGAAAAAAAAAATCACTCAATTTAGATCTGTTGGATGTGAAAACTAGTTACACAAAATGCAATTAAACTGTATTTAAAGCATTTTGCCTTGTTTTTCTTTCAATGAGGCTGTATGGCCACAAGACCTTTACTGCAACTGTATTGAGAGCATTAAAACTTACTTCTTTTAATCCTTCATGTATGTATGTATCACCCGCTGGCTTCACCTTACTTAAAGCCTCAAGGCCTTCTGTGATTTTGTTTCTGGGGACAGTCAGAAAACAAGATAAAAGTATGTTTCAATAATAAACTAAACTTAAAAAAAAAAAATCACTCCAATAATGAAATGTTTTGCTGTTTTTGTCATTAAATGGTTCTCTCATGACCATGAAATTAAAACATGAAAAAATAAATCATTTTCATTCATGTACACTCTGCATATAGATCAATTTAAAACCAGTGCAAGCTGTACTGTAGGTATATAACAACAGTCATTCCTAAGTAACACAATATGCACTGATGACGACTTAGAAGGGGTCAAATCCAAACAAAATGTTTCAGATGGAACTTCTATCGCAAGCAAATGGCCACGTACCAACACAGTCCCTTGGAAGTTACGTCATAATTTTTTTTTAAGTTAACTTGCTTGCTTTAAGGTAACTCAGCTTCCAAGAATACCTAAATTGAAAAAAAACTGATCCATTGAAACCACATATAATCTCTATAAGAAGAGTCACTGAATTATTTACTTTTATAAGTAATTAACTGAGACAGAAGCTGGAAGTCATTAAGAGGATGTTACAATGTTTAAGTCTTGCTTTCAGAAAAAATTAAAAGTTGATTTTTTTCAGAAGGTGCAAGACGGCTTTGTAGTTAAGGAAATGAACTGGGATATAAGAGATCTGAGATCAGTTTTTTTGGCTCTCCCACAGACTTTGTGAGAGACTTTTGGCAGGTCATTTTACCTCTGTGAAATGGCTTATTTTTAAACCATTTCTCTATTTTACAGAAGTGCTATAAGATAAATCTATGAATAATTATGAGACACTCAGTTGTTACGATAAGAGGGAAAGAGACAGGGGTAAGAGAAGTATTGTCACAGCAATCTGTAATACCAAAATATAAAATAATATTAAAGAGGGACAAATCCTGAGGTTCTTAGCATTTACTTTGTATTTAGCCTCTGCTAAAGCACATTCATTCAAACCGAGTAAGAAGATAAAATTTGGCCCAGAATATATAGCATATACACGTGACAAGGAAAGTCTGTGAAGGTACAAATAAAAAAGTATTTTCAGATTACATCACACCCTTTCTTGGGGCTAACAAAGAAAGAAAGAATGCATATGCCCCTTTGCCTGAATACCACCCACAAGTCATTTGTTCTACTGATTAGGTTTCTCTGCGTTTGGATGTGTTATTCCATGAATGCAATACATAGATGTAATTTTCAATTTGCAATAAGCAATGGATATCCATGCTGACAGTTAGAATTGCAAAGGAAGAATTTCTTTGTTAAATAAATGGTAAACAACAAGTTACGTAAGATAATACAATCTGTTTGATCCAAATATTTTACATTCAGCATCTATAGAAACAACTTGAAACTGATTATGTATGAATGCAGATTATAAACCACATACTTAGTGCTTGCCAGAAATGAGTGGCAGCATGTCCACAGGCATTAATGTTCTGCTGCCAAGAAACAAACAGCAACTGAAGTCCCAGTTTTACAAAACAGATTTCATTTTGCAAAAAATAGCTCTTGTACTATCAGTTCAGTTCTATTTATCCAGAATGTCTCATGACCAGGCCCCATAGAAATCTCTGGCACCGGTTCTCTGCAATGGCTCCTGGTGAAATCTTTGGCAACCAAAACTGTACTTTCTGCAATAGCAGGGATGGGTCACCATCTATCTTTCAGCACGCCAGCAGCCATAGGCTAGTCCTCTCAGAACCCCTCCCAACTATCCACGGCTCTGCTAATCTCCCAAGTTCGGAGGAGTGTATATAGTCACAAGACTGTAAACTCTTTAGAGCAGGACTGCTTTTTGATGCATTTGACCTGTACATAATGGGGCCGCAACCTCTGGGTGGCATGCTTATGTACTACTACAGTATAAATAAATAATCACTATAATAATAAATCCTGGAACTCTATAGGTTTTGCTTGTGATTTAAGTTGGGGGGGGGGGGAACCTGTGTTTGGGCTGAATGATTACAAATATAATATCTCTTCTCAATTCAACATATGTGCTACATCACACCTCTGTCTTTTAGAAAAGGCACATTTTATCTATAATAGCTACCCTGTCTGTTCTTCCTTTTTAGTTTCATAAATATTCCAGATATTCTTCCACAAGCAGAGGCAGGTAAATAGAACCAAACTAACAAGTCCTGCTTCACTCTTCTAACCTTGTTTATCCATGAGATTAGACCAAAGACTATAGGTGAAATACCATCCTTACTGAAGTCAAAAAGAGTCTGACATTAAAATATTTCATAAGACCAAGATTTTACCCCATTTTTTGTCCTCTCTGGGCCCTTATATGTCTTATCCATTCACAATGAATGTAGTACCTACTTCAGAAGTATATCCACTTATTTCAAAGGGGTTACTCTTAGAGAAAGGGGTTATTACTGGTTCAAGTACTATGGAAAGCAAGTGGAACTGCAGACAAATAAGGTTTCCTACGTGGAACAAACTGTGCATTATCCCCATGTACCTCCCCTACCCTCTTTGGAGTTGCATGGTGTAAAAATAAAGTCAGAATTAAGGCCAAACTATACAACAAAACAGTATCAGAAAGTAATGCAGGCTGTGATGACAAAGAAGGACCTCAGCTAAAATAAATTATAATGTTTCAGCATCAGGTATTGGCTGAGCATACACAGGAATCAGGATTTCCCCCTTTTCTTAGTCAGCTATGACAGCATAGCTATGACACCTAGAACAGCTACGCAATTTTTAATATGTTCATGTACTGAACTAGTATATGAATGCCATTTATCACCATAAGCCTGGTCAGAGATGGATATACAAATTTTCCCAGTGTTAACTCTGTCTGTTCAGTTTAAATGCTCTCAGCAAGCTTAAATGCCCTCACATAGGCCACCAATGCTGTTTGCAATATTGGGGCACTTTTAAATCCCCTTAAAAGAAGGTTAATTGACATGGAGCTAAAAGCAGTGTCGGTAGGCACGTGATCTGACAACTCCTAAAGTTGTTAGCATGATAGCAATGGGGTAATTTATTTTAAAAAAGCTGTAGGCAGCCTTCTCTTTTGGGATGCAACCCCATCTAACAGCTACTCAAGACAATGGAAAGATCTGTACTAATATGAAAAGAAACTATATCAGTCATTTCTGTATTTAATGCCTGTAATTAAAGGCATATAAGCATAGGTCATTTCAATTTTCCCAAGGCCCTGCTTTCCTGAAATCCTGAGCACTGTTGCATGTATGTGTATATATCCTTCATGGTAGGTGTATTGTGAATGAAGAGAAAAAGGCATAATCTTCAAGAAAATAGTCTTGGAGGATTAAAAACTGAATGGATTTGGTACAAGTTTCTCTACATCGCTGCCTGATATTCCAAAGAGCAAACGGCACAGAGAGAGGAATTTCTTTTGCATTAAAATGGGGAAAAACTGTATGTCAGACGCACTGAGATGAGGGAAGAAAATCCACCTGATTCTGAATGAGAGTATATTTGAAAAAATGAAGTGAAGTAACTGTTGAACACCAGTTCCTTCTAGTGAAAAAATATTTATCCTCATAAATCAGTGCAGCTGAGGTTAGGGTTGGCTGCAACTGTCGCAAAAACATTAAGACACAGAAGTTCAGCTAGACAGAGAATGGGTCTAACTTGTGCATCCAAATTTTCATAAAAAGCTGTGAAACTTTTAGTACTGGCATTCACAGTTCTTTGGACCAAGTTACAATTTTGCACTTACTTTCCACTCACTCAGTATCTACTGAAATCTTGGCATCATTTCTCAGTATAGTTTTGAGTACAGCAAGGCCAGGAACAGGCCTCTGGAAGTAGATTCTGATTGCCAATGACCTTGGCTTATTGATGTGGGAAGAATGTGTCTCTATATGAGGGATTTTTAGATGATAATATTGCTATCATCCAAGAAATGTATTAAGAGGTCCATGCATAGTTGGTGGGAAAAATATAATTGTGCCATTTGATTAAAAGGGGGGGATTTTTTTTTAATCCAACTTCACACATTACTTAATATTAGTTAGGCACATGTACAGTACCTCCTAAACAGGGAACTCTCTTTCAACATGTAATTTTTCATACTTCTTTCCGCTAGCAGAGAGGACAAATTCATATCCATACTAGATCTCCTTAATTGGTAAGTTTTAGGTGAAGTGATAACAAACCATCTAATCCAAATGTTTGTCTACCTTGCTCTTAAAAACTTTCAAAAATGAAGACTCCACAAGCTCTCTAGGTAGCCATTTCCAATGTTTAACCACCCTCATAGTGAACAAACTCTTCTTAACAGATAACTTAAATATCCCTTGTTGCAGCTTAAGACCATTAATCCTTGTCCCATCTTCAGTGCCACAGGATCTATCAGCATCCTCTTTAAAAGCACCCTTTATATATTTATACACCCTTCAGATATTTACACCCTTTAGGTATTTATGGTATGCATGTATAAAACATGAATATTAAAAGTGACCTATTTTAGACTAGACAGCTACAAGAAAATGTATACTATAATAGATAAAAGAACATGCAATGACCATGACCCTGATCCTGGAGTCCACTCTCAAACAAAACACTCATTAACTTCTGATAGGAAGTCTGTTTGATGTCAGCAGGATTAGACGTTACACTTTTATAGCCATGGGTAACAAGTCAAATTTGGCAGAAGCAAGGACACAAAAAACCCACCTATTTGCCAGCATGTAACCAGCCAAAGAAGTACACAATAAATCTTAAATGTTACATGGTCAGCAAAAACACACCTTTTCCAGGCAACACCAAGTACTTTTTCAAGTACTTATACTTGCTATTATGTTTTAATAAAACTTTTTCTTCAAACTGAGATCATGATTGAGCCTGAAATCCTGACCAAAAAAACTCACTTATCAGATCACCCCAAATTTGCCAATCAAATTCTAGAACTACAGAGAAATCATTTTTACTAGGTGCACAAGCAGCCCACTCTTTTTGAGAAAAGTTATACTGTGCATTAAGGGCACTTACACACCTGTGGTGGAGAGGCTGCTCCAATGCACTGGAAATCCAGTGTGTCAGAGAATACTCAATTAATCGAGGCTGGTGGAGCACATAAATTGATGCGCTCTGGCAGCTTTGCGTGTCACGTGTATCAAAGACACAGCACACATCCATGCTGAGAAAATGGCAGCGGTGTGCTTTGAACTAAAGCACACAAAACCTTTTTTAGTTCAAAGCACACCACTGCCATTTTCTCAGAACAGAGATGCGCTGCACTGCTGATACACATGACACATGGGTGCCATGTCAAAAGCACATGTAAAAAAGCTCTATGGTACCATCACTTTAAGGTTAGGTATTTAGCTCTAGAATGTGTTCACATGTGTCAATATAGCTGTGATATGCTGAAAAAGACAGTATGAACTCTATCATACAAGCAGTAAGAATGCCAACCTTTCCAAACATAGCAAAACCTGACTAACTTGAATTAATGGGCACAAACTAATTGCCATTTCCTAAGATTTGTGAATAAGCAAGTAATCAAACAAACTCAACCAAATCAATGAGATCACATCATAAAATGGTGCTGTTTTCATTAAAACCCTTCCTGTAGCATGGGCTGAGTAACCTTTTCTACTGGAACTTGCAAAAGTTGCAAATCCTAAACAGCTCATAGCTGTGAGCCCCTTTAATAAATATTTAGAATCATGGTTGTTCAAAGCATGCGTGTACAAAGCATCTTAGCCACAACTATCTATACTTAGTCATGTATATATGGTTACTGTTACTACTATCCACCTTCTTCATCCTCTTTAGCAATCCCCAGTGAATCACAAAAAGGGTAATTTCCTTTCCACTATTGCATTCACTACTGCATCAGGAAACATTTTGTGACAAAAATGAAACAGAAAGGAACTCAACAATACATGTGTCCCTCCTGTTTTGTGAACAGGTTTTCATGAAGAGATAGGATTTGATTTAAAAGTAGTACACAGACTCATGGCTGTGGTGCCAATATTCCAGCTATCCAAATAGAGTGAACTTTACAAATTGTGACCCTTGGTGTCCAATAAGAAACAGGCCACTGAAGACACTGAAAGCCCAACAAAATCATGAGAAAGACTTTAATAGACGCTAGAATGGGCTTGAAGCATCTTATGCCACATTCTCAAAGGTCACTTGGAGTTATAGTTTATAACTTTACCCACCTCTGCATTTGTTCACAGAGCAGATCAAACCTTTAATTCAGTGAGAACTGCATAGTGATTAGAGTTCTGAAAGTCAGGACACCTTCCAAAACAGGCACACAGACATTTAACTTTAAGTATGTATTTTCCAAGTTCCTGTACTTGCCATTATTTTTTAATAAAAATAATAAACCCATTAGGATAAAGTAAGCCTTCATGTTAAACAGTATACTCACTTTCCAGTAATGCAGAAAGACAGGAGTGCCTCACTTCGGTCACCCCACAGTTACTTCACAAATTTCTCAGAAACTGAGAATGTTTTTTTATGATTTGAAGTAATCTACCTGTCAGGATGTTATGAAGCAACTTAGCTATTTTTCTGAGGGTTTTCATGTTGTTCTGACATGACCAAAACAGTGTTCAGTACATCATTTGTTTGACAGAACAGGAAAAAAGAGTCCTCACCACTGAAAGCAGTGCAATTTCTCTCTGCAGGAAGTAACAGTATAATGCAAGATTTCCTCATCATTCTGATGCGACTTTTTCTACTTCATAACAGTCTACACTGATAAAGATGACTTTTGCCTCTTCTCTTTCCTGTTCCCTTCTCTGCCCGGGCTCACCACAGTCAGCAATCATTTCTTTTTTCTCCAGTCTCTGAAGACAGAGCAAGCTGGCTTCTCTGCTGCTATTGTTACTACCCAAATCAAACGGACAAGAGATGCGACAAGGAATTCTCTCAAACCAGAGACCATGAACAGCAAGTCAAAGGCCAATCAGGCTTCTGCTTAAATCATGGAGGTGCCAAGCTCCAAATCTTTCAGTTCCCCCTGAGTTTACCTTCTCAAGATTTTGAAATAATAATACTGTTTGCTGAATGTTAATAAAAAAAAATTTGGTTTCACTTAGCTTGTCCCTATAAAATGACTGAAAGTATTAATTTAGGGTCAAACAATTTGTCTTGAATTTAGCATTTTTATTGGACTTTTCCCCATGTATGAATTTTGTTTTATATAAAAAAAAGAGCAAGCATCATTATCACCATTGTACAAATGAGGAAAATGAGGTAGAAGGAAGTGAAGTAACCCACCTATGATCACACAGCAAGACAGTGGCATACTTGAGATCAAAAACACAGATCACTTGACATCTCACTCTTACACCTTCTTACTGGACTGCTCATGAGGAAGTTCACAAAAATAGCTCTCATATAGATTCCTTAAAAACCTTAAGTTTCTATAGTAGCTACCACTTAAAACCATTAACCATTTTCCTCTGATTTAGGAAGAACTTTAAAGAAAAGAAATAATGCACTGACCTGTCTCCAGTTAGTGGCAGAATGACCTCTGATTTTGTGGAAAACACTATATAGGATATTCTCATCCGGGGGCTTTAAAAAAAAAAAAAAAAAATGTACATTTTAGACAAAGGAAGAGGAAGCTTTGACTAGTACATTCACTCATAACCTTTTTATCTTACTTTATTAGCTTTGTTTTTATCGTCTAATTTCTAAAGAATATCCTTTCAAACTATAAATGAAGAAAGTGCAAGAATGAAAAAGGAATTAATGGACTTTTAATGCATATATTTCTTGGCCTGGTATTTTGTAAAGTGAAGCAGCAACATTACTGTCTTCTTCCTTGCTTTCTGAGACTCTAGACAAACAAGTTAATCTGAAGGCCATTTAAGAATCAATACACTTCAATCAATAGTACACTTTGCAATATACCAAGGCTTATTTTAAGTATAAATACACTTGTCAAATTATGAATGCATAAGTATCTCAGAGAGCTAAACACTTTTCTTAAATGTACGACTCCAGTCCATGCAAACACAATTGGCTGATTTAGGCATGTTCAAAATTGAGTTCTTTTTTTTTTTTTTGGAAGTTAGGTCCTGGCACCACTTAAAACATTTGAACCAAATTTAGATCTCGTCTAATTGCACCGCAAGGGTAGTCGCACTGCAATTACATGCAAGAAGTTGCACCCATTCATCCCAGCTCTGAATGTAACTGTTTCATGTATAACCAAGTTCCATTTCCAGTTTCACTCTGCACAT